CGAGATTAAAGTCAGAATTCCGAGATTAAAGTCAGATTTCTGAGAAAAAAAGTCGGAATTAGATTTCTGACTTTTCTCAGAATTCTGACTTTTTCCCATATTAAACTGAAATAATATTTAAAAATCAGTTAACTTTTTAATTTTTTTCAGTGGCCCTAATCATCTTCCGTAACATGAAAACTCATTAAATATATATATTTTTTGTAGTAATACATTTAAAAAGAAGTCCGCTTCCTGTCGCCCCACCCAGGTGATGTCGTCACTGCCTGAGCAGCCAATGAGGCGCAGGCAGTGAGTGAGTGGGTGTTCAGCAGCGGACAGTAGAGCAGCGGCGGCGCAGCGCCACAACAAGAGCGGCTGTCGGGCTTTGTTCAGTGGATGTGAATGAGCTCCGTCCCCTCCTCCAGAAATGTGGTCGGATATCAGGACATTGTTGCTTTTCCATTTATTCCTCCTCAGGCTCCCTTACCTGAAAGGTCAGTATTTCTCCTGGAACGTATTTGTAGTTTCTTCGTGCTTCAGACTGCTTAGTGATGTTCAATCAGACGCTGGTGTGGAGCTTAATTGGGTCCGCGAGCCTGAGCGCGCGCGTGCCTCTTATAGCTTAAGGGGAGAAGATCAAAATATGCTTTTTATCTCCATTATTAATAAGCGTGTAATAGAGTTTTCTCCACTGTGACTGTGGGCTGGCTTGTTGTGTTGCTTCTCTGTGTTTAGCTGCTTACAGACATGTGTTTCCTGACTGGGAGCATCTTTAATAAGCCGCTGCATCAGAGGTAGTAGCCCAGACTCAATGAACCTGCTCATTTAAAAGATCAGTGTGGAGGATAGGATAGGATAGGGCCTCCTCTGCTGTCTCACTTTAGAACTATCCTATTACTACATCCCAAGAAAGCAGAACGCTGATGCAGAAAACGGGAACAATGACGCTTGAAGCGCATCTTCTTCGGTTGACCCTAGTGAATGCTGCATATTAATTAGGTATTCATTTGCAAATGTCAGCTGGAGGAGCGGTTATGCATGAACATGTTGCTGCGGTGATCATCCATCTGGACACTTTTTCTGTTTTTCTTGTAATCTCTTCCAGCCACTGATGAGTGTGAGGATGGACAATTTCAGTGCAACAACAAAAGGTGTATACCGACCATCTGGAGGTGCGACGATGATGACGACTGCTCAGACAACAGCGATGAAGAAAACTGTCGTAAGTGTTACAATGAGGATTATCTCCCTCCCTTGTTTGCTTTATGCTTATATAAGCGCCTTGCACAAGTGATCACTTTTATCACCGTGCAACTTCAAGCTTCTGTAGAAGTGGTGCGTTTTTTGTTTGTTTTGTTTTTACCACAATAAATCTGAAAAGTGTGGATGGCGGTTGTATTCAATCTTAAAGGAATAGTACACCCAAAACATGATTAGCCTTCATTTTCTACTCACCCCCATGCTGAACAACACTCTGGAGTACTTTTTTGATATCTC